AGTCTAACTGCAGCATATCCACTTTGTCTGACTGTGCGTTACCTCCCCAGCACACAACCTGGAATCCTGGCCGCCCACTCAGGCCAGGAGGGGTTAGAATACAGCACATGGTTCTGATTTTTCTCTCCCTCCTCCGTCTCCCATCAGGAACTGCTGACTTAAAATGACTGTAAAAAGAAGACAGGGCATGGGACATCACTGCCTGAATACAGATGTTCACATCGTTAAACCTGTCATTACTCTGCTGCTCAGTGAGCCGATGGCAGTGCTGACACCAGCTTTGGATGTGTGAAACTGTTACCAGAACCTCCCTCATGAAATACAAATCCTGTGCAATAACCAGGTGATAAAGTCCCACAGCACAAACAAACCCTCAGATCAGGGCGTGGAATCAGATGCAGTGAGAGTGACACCAAGTTTGCCTCTCCCTCACCCACCCAAAATGCCATATCTGTTCTGAGCCAATCTGGGAGGGCAGCTGCCTGTTTTCCAGTGCAAGCATCTGTTTGGGGATCAGGGAGAGGATCATTAAAGACAACACTGGCTTGCAGATCCACCCATTCCAGCCTGCTGCACATGTATATGACTGTAAGCTTCTAACTCACACAGTTCACCTGGGGTGAGAGGGCTACCGTGACCTGGGGCTTAAATAACCACCCAGCCTTTCCCTGGAAGCCTTTGGAATACTCTGGAAAGGGGTATGATTCAACCTTCTGAAAATACTCTGACAGGTTTTGGTTACTGCATTTATGCCAGCCCAGGCACAGATCCACAGGTCAGAAGCAGGAGGAATCCAGTCCCCTGTGCAGCCACATTGTCCCCAGCAATGGCACCCAGGCAGGAGGTGATGGAAATATTTATATGTCGCCATGCACATATAAAAATGGAAATTTTTGGGACTGTACATTGATGTAAGTGAATGCAAATTGATGAGAGGCAAAAGGTTTGTTTCATGGCTAGATGGTTGTCTACCTCTGCAAAGAGACAGGGGGGAAATTTCTTCGAGTGGCCTTTTAAATAATCCAAGTCCTTGGAAGTTTTCTACCACAGTCAGGTTTCCTACCAGAGTCAGACTTTCTACCACAGGGAGATTTTCCACACCAGATGCTTGTTCTTTTTTTTTCTTTTTGATCCCCCTGTAGCATATGAACACAGATGGTCTTGTTTCAGCCCATAAGATCTTGGAAAATGTGAAAGCTAAATAATTTAACTGGAAAGAGCTCTCTCTCCGAGGCCCCTCTCCTGACTTTCCTTGCCAGGCTCTTTACTACTTGCTAAAATAGAACTTCCACTATAAATAGGAAGGAGATCTCCTGCCTGCCCCACTGGCCTGGCTGTAGGAACAGTTGGCTTTCAGCCCCTCTCGAAACTACAGTTCAATCCATCTTCCTGCAGTGACACCAAACAGGAGATCTTCTAACGGTGCGTCAGAGGAGAAGTGAATAAATCTGGTGCTGGAGGCAGAACAAAATATCTGGAACATTCAGCAAGGAATATCTGGAACATTCAGAGTGTCCCGAGACCCACAGAAATTAGGGTCTATTGATGAAAGCGCTTCCACACAATGAATAAAATGTGGTATATTTATAGCTGGAATGTGGTCCTGGCTGTCACCTGACCGTCCGACAGCCCCAGACAGATGACAGCATGGTGACTTTGGCTGCCGTGGCTGCCTTCCACAACCCTCTGCACAGGGACACAGCACAGCCACAGGCAGCGAAGATCCCATTTTACCTACTAAAACACAAGTCACGAGGACATTCCCTCAGGAATCAGATGATCCGAGGTCACTCACCTACTATCAGGTGACATCCTACAAAGACGTAACGTCTGCCCCTCTGCAGATACGTGCAGGCTTAAAGGTCTTCTCAGTCAGACACTATTTCAGTCAGGCATTTAAGAAATTATCTGACTTTATGTGAATATTTCCACTGCTGCTCTCATGCTGGGAGTTAAGTATGTCCCTCAGTACTTCCATCAAGGATGTGATGACGAGCACTGCTACTATGCTTTCCTAGAACAGCGTGTACAACAAGGACTAGGGAATATATTTTATATCTCTTATGATTCATCGTGTGGAACAGTCACCTCAGGTTTGAGCCAGAAATACATCCAGTGGATTGGGATCAATTGACAATAATAAACGTTTGGGAGGGGAAAGGCTGAACCCCGAGAGCTGGGGAATTTTTAACCCTGCTGAAATCAATGGCAATACTCACAGTGGTGTCAGTAAGGCCAGGATTTCACACAAGATCACACTGACAGTGACCTCAAAGTCACTTTTAGTGCCAAGTGTTCCCAAGGTCCTGCAATTCCAGCACCGCTTTTGGGTGTTATTATGAGACAAAACATTTGAGTGTAGCCCTCCAGGCCTCGTGACTCTGGCCCTGAGGGCATTAAAGTTTCTTTTTTCCTCATTTGACCCTGCTCTCTAGATCCTCAGCTGTGAACTCTAGCACAGACCCACACCCCAACAAAACCCTCCCCTCCCTGGCCCTGTGTCCCGCAACCATCTCCCAAGTGAATTTTTCTTTGTTCCTTTTTAATCTCTACTTGCAAAAGTTTTCCACAACTTATAACCACCTCTTGTTCTTGGCTTTTTCAGTCACTCACCAGATGGGGAGTTCTGTGCAGGATAAAGGGTTTTTTATTTTCCTTTGTGGTGAAAAATGCTCTGTGCTTCACATCTTTTCAGATGCCCAACAGCAAGGTGGGTGGGAGAGACAGTGACCTCTTACTCTTTGCCTCAGCATTTACAAAAAGGAACCAGCTTTCCATTTTCCCAAAGCTCTGTGATGGTCTCCTCCAGAGGGACTTTCTGCTTTGCCTCTTGGCTCAGTGGTTGGCACAGTAAGAATAGAGAGTCCTTGTTTCCAGCTTTGATCCTGTCAATTCCACAGTCAACACTGACCAGAATGTTACACAACATCCCTCTCTTTGTCCTTACAAAACTATCTGTGTCAACTTCATTTACTGTTCTTGGATCTACAAAACTAATTTGCCCCTTGTGTGCCCAACACTCTCAGTATCTCCTCTGGAAGAAAAACAACAACAACAACAGCAACAACAAACATGGGAAGAAATAAGCTTACTCTCAGATTTTATTTTTATGGCTTTGTCTAAATGAAGGACTTGGAGAACGTGGAGCTTCAAGGAATTTTTCAAAGAATTTCTGCATCCTGTCACGACTGGTTGAAAACACCAGAAGTACCTTTTCAACACTGTTTTCATCCATCTACTCTCTATCCCTAGCAAGGAAAATAAATCAATGATAGCAATCCCTCTAACACTGGGAACTGCCCCAATCCCAGAGCCAAGAGACACGTGACAAAACTCACTTGGAAGAGTAATTTGTAAGGAAGGGACGTATTTTAGAAATGAGATGTCATCAATTAAGGGACAGTGTGTACACAGGGCAGCTGCTGGCATCTTGGAGATCGGCTACATCAATGTTCTGTGAGGAGAAGTACCTGGGTTTGCAGGACCTTAAGTATCTGAAGGAGGGTGTCAGAGGATGGACCAGGCTCTGCTCAGGATGCCCAGCAATAGGACGAGAGGAATGGGCACAAACTGGTGCCCAGAAGTTCCATCTGAACCTGAGGAAGAACTTTTTTCCTCTGAAGTGACTGAGCACTGAACAGATTATCCAGAGAGGATATGGATAGTCTCCCTGACAGGAGATATTCCAGAACTGTCTGGACACAACCCTGTGCCATGTGCTCTGGGCTGGCCCTGCTGGAGCAGGGAGGTGGGACCAGATGGCCCACTGTGGTCCCTTCCAACCTGAATCATTCTGTGATTCTGTCACTCTCCCAGGTGCAGGACACACATCTCAAATGGCAAACACATTTATGGGAGAGGTGTTTTAACCACCTCTCTGAGCCTATCTTGCAGCTAACTTTTCTTTAATACTCCCCAGAAGAATGCTGAAGGAGTCTTAGCTAAAAGATTGAGTACAGTCCCTCCATTTGATGCTATTACATCTTTCACATCTTTGCCCCCGTGAATCCAGAGGGACGTGTGCAGGGTCGGGATTTTTGGGAGCAATAATTAATCTCCCATATCTCCCCGACAATATCATTTTCTAGACTCACCATCAGAAACCCTTCCCTTATCCCATCAGCTTTGTCATATTCAACAGGTTGCTCCACTTTCATTCACTCCTGCAAGGACAAAATCCATACCCATGGAGATGCAGAGGGAGATAAGAGGAGCCTGGAGGAGATGTGGGGGCTGAGCCCACACCAGCAGAATGGCTCCAGTTCAGTCTTTCTTTTTGCCAGCACCACCAGCAACCTGCCTGTGCCTGGCTTTCTGTGAGTCTCACCCACACAAAGGTGAACACTTCACACCAGGACTTCGCCAGATCAAAGCCTGAAAGGGTAAATATTTCTGTCAGGGATCATTACTTTGCTTTCTTCCTTTGTTTGCCCTGGAACAATGTGGGGACGGAAAAAAGAAGGCAGAAGAAGTCTGTACAATTTAACAATGCTGCATTGAGAGAGACAATATCTGACATCACAGAAATGACCCTCTCCTTGCTCCCCAGTTCTTGTCTTTTAGAGAGAGGGGGACATTCTTCTGCTTCTTGCAGCAGGGGTGAAGGAATGTGGATCTGTGGCTTTGGAATAACATTTTAGATCTAGTGAAAGGCACTTTGACCTTGGCATAAGAAGTGTGCCAATAGTGCTGGTGTTCAAGGAAAAGAAAAACATCAAAAACCAGACAAGCCTCCCATGTCTGACAATAGGGAAAACACTCACAAATGGGATTTTTAAGCCAGTTGAACAATATCTCTTCTAAAAAAGCCACAGAGTTAATGACCCCTGTGCTGAAAATATTTTAGAGCTCTGCTTAATTTCATGAACAGTATTTTAGCAGAGTCCAATTACTAATACTCCCTGTGTTTCCAAATATATTTGGGTACCTGTAAAACTGGAAAAAAAAAACCACACACACACAAAAACAAACAAAAAACTAAAGCAGAAGTGTTTGATAAATATTTCCTGCCTATATTTGGGACAAAGTTAAATGTCATTTCCAGAGTGCCATTTCCATGTTATATAATGATGATGAAACGCTTCCTATCCAAGCAATTTAAAAAAGAACATCAAAAGCACCACTAACATTTTAAAAACAGCAGGTCTAGAGGATGGTGTGTCATCATTTTAAGAGCTGGTTCTTCAGACGACTGTTCTCACACAAGGTGGGAATGTGAGAGTTTATAAAAACAGCCCAGGAGACCATTTCTAAGGAGAAAAACAGCTTTGTGTCAATATTTGAAGAGCGTGACTAAGGGAAGTCCAGGTAATTTCAGTCTGGCGAGTCCAACATCGCTCCTGACCTGGCTATAAGGAAGTGGTTTGCACCAGTTAATAAGGAGATGGAGAGTGGGGATGTAATGGAACATCAATCAGCAGTTTTTGTGGGAAATGGTTCCTGTCAAAGAACAAACTTCATCTTGTTCTTTAATAAAATCACGAGTACAGCTGATAGCAGGAACGGTGTTGACTCAGTGCTGTACAGTACAAAAAAAATACATACGAAATCAATACGAGTGCATAACAAATGGTTTAAAAATAGCTATTGGAAAGATCTTAAAATGGCTTTGTAATAAAGGATTCATCAATGAATAAAGGCTGCTTCTAATGGACTCTTGCAGGCACTTGCACTTGTGCTACTCACTGTGCTGCAAGAAAACACAAGATGATCACATCATTTGTAAACTGTGAGAGTTTCAAAACTGTTAAGTAGTTTCATTACTTAAAATTGCACTGATGGGAGTAGCTCGTCTTGTAAACAAAGACTGATGGGATGAGGGTAATCACGAGAACTTGGTAACGTGAGTTTAGAATCACAAAATCATTACATATTATTATATCTACTTTCATGGTACCTTTTCCTCTTGGACAAAGGGAGGTCCTTGGGAGCTTGTCATGGTGCCTCTTAACTCTTTTCCAGGAAGTTCCCAAATGTATTAACTCTGCAAAAACGAAATATGGAGAGATATATATATATATCTCCATATATGTGTGTATGTGTATATATATATATAAGTCTTCTGTGAAGATCTCATGATAGAAGGATCACAGTATCCACCACCCTTAGGCATAGAATAGGATATCCTGAGTTGGAAGGGACCCACAAGGATCTATATGGAAATTCACAGTGTTACATAAATAACATTTCAAAATAAAGGTAAGTTAGCTTTAGAACTTCCAAATTTATTCCACTGTAAGGAAACGCTCTTCCTCTGATGGTAAATGAAGTTTATATTTTTGGTCTTATTTTTAATTTCTTGTAACTCTGCAGTGATGGAACTTGAGTCCTGTGTCATGCCAGAAACTTTCAAGCTACTCCACATCTGTGAGCTCAGAGCTGCTAACAGAAAAAAAGGGGGAAATACTCCATTTTTGATCTCAAATGAGAGAGGTCTGGGCTCACAAATTCCTTCACAGAAGGGTAACTAAATGGTCTTTAAGGTCCCTTCAAGCCCAAACCATTCTGTGATTCCATAATCTGAAAGAATATATAAAATAAGTAAAGAAAATTTGAAGTGCCCCTTCTTCATTTGGACAATCTTCCCTGGATGTCAGACAAGGAGCAAAAGGAGGGAGAATTTGAGTAGGATGACATAAAGGATGAAACACTTGTTGAAGGAGAGAAGATGAAATCCCACTGGCTTTGATGGAAATGGGGATAAAAAGTGAGAATCCTACAATCTGTGTCTACAAAGCAATCTACAAGATAGCTAACATTCCCTTTTTCTTCCCCACTGTGGAGAAAAATCTGGGACAAGGCTTCAGAGTGAAATTACCCTGTGCAGTTCATTAGAAATGCAAAAGATAAGTCAAACAAACAGATCCTATCCCTTTTGGTAGAGCAATGGGACCAAACACCCCGGCACAGCCTCCTCCCCTGGCTTCTTGTTTGTTCCTTGTTTATCTCCTCTCTTTTTCCTCTCTTTCTCCATTTGAAAAGACAGAACAAACATGCAGAAAGCTCCTGTGGTTGAATTAACAATGTTCTTGGAGCTTTAAGGATTGAAGAGTGCTGCTGATGCATCCAAGGATCCATGTGCAGCCTTTCAGCAGGATTTTAATGACTCAGGGAAACACCACTCCAGCAGCAGCGAACACTTCTAAAAGCTTCACCTTCCCTTCCAGCCTGAACTCAATCTGGCCTCTCTCTGGGTTTTAACACACTCCATTAACAGGATTCCCCAGCTGAAAGCAGACATAGGAGGTAGGCCACAAGCCTATTTTTGGACATCCAACCCCGTCCAATGCACAGAAGTTCCCTTGTCAGTGCAGACTGTAGGATGGAGACAGGCAGAATGTGTAGGAGAAGGGGGAATCAGGGAACACATGCTCTGTACTCTGGGTTTTTTCCTCCCACAGCGGACACTGGGGCTGTGAGGGGGGTTTGCTGTAAGTCCAGAAGGAGAATGACACACACAGACATTTGGGGGTGTGGCACACAAATGTATCTGATACTCACACACACACACAACCCTTTTAGGTGGGGTGAAAAACCCCACCATCCCCCACAGGCCTGCACAGGCAGTTGGATGCTTTGAGTAATTCACAGGCGGAGGTGACATCCAGTCATCCCCCTTCCCCTGCCCTTGCCTTAGGAAAAAGCGTGTGTGTGTGAGTGTGAAGGTGGGGTTGGAGGTACAATCATCACACAGCCACAACCCCCTGTCAGGCTGTTGGTCACAACAACCCCCTGGAGTGCCACAGCCCTGGGGCAGAGTGGCTGGAAAGCTGTCCAGTGGGAAAGGACCTGGGGGTGCTGGTTGACAGCAGCTGAATATGAGCCCAGGTGTGCCCAGGTGGGCAAGAAGGCCAATGGCATCCTGGCTTGGACCAGGAATAGTGTGGTCAGCAGGATCAGGGCAGTGATTGTCCCCCTGTTCTCGGCACTGGTGAGGCCACATCTCAAATCCTAGTTTTTTTGGGCCCCTCACGACAGGGAAGCCATTTTGGTGCTGGAGCATGTCCAGGGAAAGGAACGGAGCTGGAGAAGGGTCTGGAGCACAAGTCTGGTGAAGAGTGGCTGAGGGAGCTGGGGAGGCTCAGCCTGGAGAAAAGGAGGCTGGGGGGGGGAACTTCTCACTCTCTGCAACAGGAGGGTGGAGCCAGGTGGGGGTTGGGATCTTAGACAACTAGTGGAAGGATAGGAAGAAACAGCCTCAAGCTGCACTAGGGAAGGTTTAGGTTGTACATCAGGAAGAATTTCTTCATGGAAAGGGTTGTTAAGCACTGGCATGGGCTGCCCCAGGAGGTGGTGGAGTCCCCATCTCTGGAGGTGTTCAAGGAATGACGTGGCACTCAGTGCTCTAGTCTGGTTGACAAGGTGGGGATCGGTCACACGTTGGGCTCGATGACCTTGGAGGTCTTTTCCAAATGAAATGATTCTGTGATTCTGTAGGGTGTACATGGCTGGTGGTCACAGACCCACTGGCTGTGCTGTGTGTGTGAGTAATGCAGCAGGGACGTTGTACACAGAGGTGTAACGGAGGTGCAGGTATCAGCTCCCTCGCCCGTCCAGGTGTCACTGAGACCGGAGTATCACTCTTCCCTCTCACCGCCTCCTTCCTCCTGGGCATGTTGCAAAAAGGGGAGGGTATCTCACAAACAGGTGACCCCACCCCAGTAAGCCAGGGTGTGTTTTTTCTGCGAGTCTCTTTCCCACACCATAAGAAAGGATGCTAGGGGGAAACTGGCACCGTGGAGGTGATCAATCACTGCCCCTCACTAGGCTGTAAGGTGTTTGTTGGGCCTGGGAGTTGTCCCACGCAGGTGTAAAACCTGGGCACCCTCCCTCAATCTTTTTCCTTCTACGGGGTGCCAGGTCTTTTATCACGCAGATGTGCATTTCAACACCCCCTCCTGTTGATTACGAGGTGTGTATTGGAGGTGGATATTACTTTCTCTCTCGCACAAACAAGTACAGGTGAACCCCAACTCCTCTGATTTATGGGACATAGCTAATATTTGCAGGAGTGGCATTTCTCTCGTACAAGGGTGACTTCAGGTTGTTGACACCATTTTAGCGTGCAGAGTGTGTATTTGGGGTATGCCAGTCTCACTCATCCCCCTAAACAACTGAGAAATGCTTGGCTGAAGGGAAAAGGGGTGTCACACCAATGAGCAGAGGTCAAACCTGACCACCTCTCCCCACCAACCTGTCCAGGTGTTGAGCTGGGGGAGGACATTTCACCCACAGGGTCACCTTGTGCATGATTGTCCCTCCCTACAATATGTGGGGTTTCCTTGGTGTGAGGGGTAGGGGTGCACATAGGAGAGATCCCTGTTGAACTCTGGCAGTCACAGGGTGTGACACCCCCACAAAGCAGCAGGATGAGTGCTGGGGGTGTCACACACAGACAACAATCTCCCACAGAGCTGCATGATTTGTGCTCTCTCACACACAAGGGTGCAAGACGGGGAGCATCTGTCACCCACATGGGGACACAGTTCATGTCTTGGGGCTGTTGGCTGCACTCAGAGGGGTTGCTTCAGGAGCCATAAACACACCATGCTGTGGTTTGTGTTTTGGGGGTGTCCATCACACACTGAGCTGCAGGGTGTGTTTCAAGGGGCCTTGTCCATCTGTGAGGCCGCAGGTTGTGCTTTGGGGTGTCTCACGCACTCTGGGCCTCAGGCTGTGCTTCGGGGTGTCAGGGTGTATCACCCACACAGAGGGCTACAGGCTGTGCTGGTGGCCGTCATCATGTCCATGAGGCAGCAGGCTGGATTTAGGGGTCTCACCCACACAGGTTGTAGTTCAAGGTGCCTGTCATTCATGGAGCCACAGGCTGTGTTCAAGGTCTGTCTGTCTCACACACACTCCTACACAACCGAGAAATGCCTGGCTGAAGGAAAAGGGGTGTCACACCAACGAGGAGAGGTCAAACCTGACCCCCTCTCCCTGCCAAGCTGTCAGGGTATTGAGCTGGGATATCACACAAGACACGGCTGCAGGCTATGTGTGAGGGTGCATCACACACACGGGGTCACAGGCTGTGCCTGAGGGTGTCACACACTCATGGACAGTTACAGGCAGTGACTGATAGTGTCAGACACACACGGGGCTGCAGGCTGTGTCTGAGGGTGTCATACACACAGACAGGGCCACAGGTTGTGTCCGTGTGTGTCACGTACACGCAGACAGAGTTTACAATCTGTGTCTGAGAGTCACACATGCGGACACGGTTTCACACTGTGTCTCTGGTTGTCACACACACATACAGGGGTACATGCTGTGTCTCAGGATGTTGCACACACGCAGCATTACAGCAGTATAAGAAAGATATTAAGGTCTTAGAGAGTGTCCAAAGGAGGGCAACGAAGATGGCAAAGAGCCTTGAGGGGAAGCCATGAGAGGAACAAACAGCTGAGGGTACTTGGTCTGTTCAGCCTGGAGGAGACTGAGGAGAGACTTCACTGAAGTTACAACTTCCTTGTGAGGGGAAGAAGAGGGGGAGGTTCTGATCTCTTCTCTGTGGGAACCAGGGACAGGACCTCAGGGAACGGCCTGAAGTTTAGGAGGTTTAGGTTGGATCTTAGAAACTAAGGTTCTTCCCCCAGAGGGTTGTTGTTGGGCACTGAACAGGCTCCCCAGGGCAGTGGTCACAGCCCCAAGGCTGCCAGAGCTCAAGGAGTGTTTGGAGGATACTCCGGGCCACATGGTGTGACTGCTGGGGATGGTCCTGCGCAGGGCCAGGAGCTGGACTCTGTGATCCCTGTGGGTCCCTTCCAACTCCGCATATTCTGTGATTCTGTCCGTGTCACACACACATGCTGACAGCGTCTGAGCACGTCTCTCACACACACACGCAGAGCTTCCACCCTCTCCCTCCGAGCGCGTCTCGCACACTCGGTGTCACTGGCTGTGTTTGAGCGCCACACGCATACACGCTGGGTGTCACACGCATACACGCTGGGTGTCACACGCAGACATGGGGTCACAAGGCCGTGTCAGGACGTCTCCCACAGACACACACACGGCCTTACGCCGTCCCTCACTCCCGCTCCCCCCCCCACCGTGCCCGCGGCCCCCCTTCCCTCCCTGGGCCGCCGCTCCCCCCGCCCCGCCCCGCCCGCGTCGCGCCGCGCGTGACGATGCGGCGCCGCCCCCGCCCGCTCGGAGCCGGCGGCGGCTGCGGCACCGCGGGCCGGGGCTGGGGGGGGAGCGGGGCGGGGAGAGCCGAGCTGGGCGGGCGGAGCGGAGCGCCGGGCGCGGGGGCGGGCGGGGCGAGGCTCGGCGGCCCCGCCGGGCAGGGCGCGCTGCGGCATGGATTACCCCGAGCCCGGCTCGCCGCAGGGCGCTTGGGACCTGTTCGGCTCAGCCAGCGGCTACGGCGGCTTCGAGCGGCCGAGCCGCGCCGAGCAGGAAGCGGCGGCGGCAGCAGCAGCAGCAGCGGCGGAGCAGGAGGAGGAGGACGAGGCGGCGGCGGCTGCCCGCGCCCGCCCGCCCCGCCGCCCGCAGCCGCCGCTCCGCGCCGCGCTCTCCACCTCCTCCTCCGAGGGCGACCCCGAGCCGGCGGCGCCGCCGCGGGAGCGCAGCCTCAGCGACGAGGCCGCCGGCGGAGACTTCGACTCGGCCGAGTCCGGAGCGTCGCTGCGGTACTCGACGGGCACGGGCGGCGAGGGCAGCGAGGGCGAGGGCGCGGGGCTGGGCAGCAGCGACAGCGGCGGCAGCGGCTTCTCGCTGGCGGCCACCGCGCTGCCCGAGAGGCGGCGGCCGGGCGGCGGCCGGCCCCGCTATGAGGTGGTGCGGGAGCTGGGCGCCGAGGAGGTGCGCTGGTTCTACCGCGAGGACCGCAAGACCTGGAAGCCCTTCATCGGGTACGACTCGCTGCGGATCGAGCTGGCGTTCCGCGCCCTGGCGGGCAGCGGCGGCGACGGGGAGCCGGCGGCCGTGGAGCCGGTGTGCGTGCGGAGCGGGCTCTACGAGGTGGATGTGGCCAGCGCAGAGAGCTACCCCGTCTATTGGAACCGTGAGTCCCCACCGGGGGGGCCGGGGGATCCCGGGGCGGGACACCCGGGGGGTGGCCGGGCTGCCCCTCGCTCCCTGCGAGGGATTCTGGGCATCCCCCGTGCGCGCAGAGCCGGCCCGGGGTGACCCCGCCGTGGGGACACCGGGCGGCTCTTCCTGACCCTCCATCGAACCCGCGTAGGGGAAAGGGGAACTGAGCACTCCCTGTCAAACAGGCCGGCCGGGGGGACCTGGCAGCGCTTGCTGCCTGTATGTTCCTGTATAAGAGGTACAGGACAAAATATTCGCCAGGGAGAGGGGACTCGGCGTGCCCATCTCTAGCACATACCTGAAAGAGGAGGCACTGGGAATGCCCCTTCCAAGTCTCAAGGATGTGATGGGGAGGGAAGGGAGCGCGGCTCGGGGCATCCCACCCACCCGGCTGCACTGGTCAGGGAAGTGACATGGGCATCCCTGAGCATTCACTGGAGAAAGGGGCCACTGGACCACCCTCTCTTCCCTCCCCCCAGAAGAATGAGGGGTACTGAGTACCCCCCACTCAGGGTGTTCTGGGCTCTTCTGCCACGTCCAGCTGCAAAGGGGACTGAGCATCTTTCCCTCTCTCCTGTGCACTCACACCTGAGGGAGATGATCTGGGGCATTCACACCTGGCATGCAGAGAGAAATGGGGATCTGAGCACACACACCTGGCAAACAGAGACATGGAAAAGGGAGGTCTGGGCATCTTCTCATTTCTTGGCAGGTGTGGAAGAAAGTGGGAGAGAAGGTGGCTGAGAACCTTTTTACTTAAGCTTCCCCTTTCCTAAGCAAAGGGTGAGTGTGAGTGGATATTTTTTTCAGCACTCCCCCTTTCCTTCCCTGCAGAGCCTGCCTTCAGAAGGAGCAGGGTAGACACATCAGTTGTTTATCCACTGCCTCCCTGCCACACACACACTTCTGATCCCTTATGTTTAGTGAAGAATGATGGAAAAAAAGGGCTGATACGTGGCTTCACCTCTGTGACCCTTGTCCTCTCCACTAGGGAAATGATGATACTGTGCTTTATATTTCCTTTCCCATCACCTGTCCACTGGCAGGGTTTATGAAATGGGATTTCTCCTCCCTTCTGTTGGAGGGGATGCAACAGGCACCTCACACACACAGTCCTTAATTCTTACCCTTCCAATAGAGGGGAATTTGCTTCACCCCCTCAAATTCAAAATGAAGTGGGGATACACCTCCTCTCCCACCCTTCCCCTTGTATTCGTGTGTCCTTTGCTAGAGGAGAGGGGCCTTGGGGAACAGAGATGAAAGAGGAGCAGACACTTCCAGCTCTCTGCCCCTTTCTTTGGGGGGAATGTCTCCCAGGGTCTCACTGGACAAGTGAGCACCTGCTTTCCTGGTGCTGACAAGCTGTGCCACTGCTCACCACCTGTCCCTGAAGGCTGACTTGCTTTACAACTGCATTCCTTCAAGGACAAGGGAGATGTTACAGAGTAGAGTGAGCTGCAGTGTAGCCAAGTGTGTCCTGGCATGGGCTTGGGAGGGGGGCAGGCAGGTTTCTCTCATCTCCTCTGCATATTTTTGTGACTCAGCTGGGAGTCACAGAGGAACAGCAGAACTGTTTCAGAGATGAAAACCAGGGCTTTTAGTTCTTTTCCTTCTTATTTATCAGCGTCTTTGCAGGAGGGAGATCCATAAATGTGTGGTACATTTTACTTGGGTGACAATTTGTCTTTCAAATCCTTGCCCCTGCAGACAGACACTGAGCTTGAGGAGCAAGCAGAGGGTTTAGTCCACACGTGTTTTGAGTTAGGGGAGCCTGGGCACAGCTCCTTGAGCAGAAAGTGGAGGTGGTTTTCTCCCTGTCACCACCCTGAACCCCTGCTGTTGGCACTCCATGCATCTGCCATGTGGTTACTGGGAAGAGAAGATGTGGATCATCCAAGGCATGAGGAAACAGCTTCCATCCTTGTAGCTGTGTGGTAGAGAGAGAGGGGAAGGAGCGAGCAGAGCTGTAAGGTGAGGCAGGATTGCTCCTGGTAATGGGAGCAAGAGGCTGCGCTCGTCAGCAGCTTAAAGGTTTAATTTCTTGACACTGTGCCTTGTCCATTTTGGAAGCTGATTCAGTCTCATTAAGCTTGAGGAGCAGATGTTTCAGATGACAGAATACACTGTGCAGAGAAGGTTTGTGGTGCTTGAAAGGAGAGATTCCCAGAGGTTAGCACCAGAGGCAGGGGAGAAATAAACTCCTGGTCCTGAGGGGACTAATGACGGGGATGATTTCTAGTCCTCAGAAAGCTGATTAAGGGAAGTGCTCAAGTCTTTTCTTATTAGCAGGTCCACTCCTTTGCAAGACTGAGATCATCTTTTGGTATTTCAAGGCTCTTTCAGTGACTTCTGGTTTAACTTATCTTTCACCTGCATGTTTCCTTGCCTCTGTTTCCTGTGTACATGGGTGCTCTTGCCTTTCTTCCTTTCTTCCCTCCCAGCTGCTGCATCCAGATCTGAGAGAACAGCAAGGCCACATCGCAGAGATTCAGTCTCATCTGTGTGTTTGAAGGCCTTGGTTTAGCCGTTATTCCCAAATTATTCCCATCTGATGGTGTGTTGATAATTCTGGATCCAAAGGGGAGCTGCTAAATTGGTCTGCCTTAGTCTGGGAGGAGGCTGGTGGTGACAAACCAGCTCTTACACCAGCCCATGAGTAAGGCAGGAAAATCCTCCTCTCTGGCCATAGGAGCATGAAGTATAACGAGCACAACTGACTTAAAATATGCTGAGGTGCAGGTTCAAGAGTACAGAAACTGCTGGCTGTTTTTGCTGATTCATGGTTCAGTTCAGAGCAAAGGTCAAAGGCTTTTATCTTTGTTATTTTGCCCTTTTTCCTGTATGTGCTGTACTCCAGGGGAGGCTGCTATCACACAGCTACAACACCGAGCAGTTGGTTCCTCAGCTGACAGTTCCTCAGCTTTTGGAACATCTCAGTGCCAGGAAAATGTTGATTATAGCTGGGCATGTGCTGAAATATTTTTTCACTCCACGTCTTTAAGCTCACCACAGGATTCGTTGGTAACATCAGGAATATCAGCCTGAGTTACAATTTGAGCAGATTAATTACTGAGAATTTAATCCTTACCTTGTGACCTCTGGGATTTATTTAATTAGTGTTGTAGAACCAGCAAAAATGGTGCAAGAGGATGAAAATTACTAGTGTAGGTTTTCAGATAAGTGAGTAATTTGCATCTGGGTTGCTTCTTGTTTTCTGTGGGCGTAACAACGAGTGATATTTTATTACAAGGGTCTTCTGTTTAAATCACCTTAAATTATCCAGTCCTTTTCTGCTCTCCCAGTTCTAGAGGGCTGCTTTACAACAATCTTTCTGTAGAATTGTTCAGTCTAGTTTTCAAAGTCCTGGGTGAGTCTGTTAAATCCACAGCCTGTGGACTTCTGGTTGACTTCCCTGTTGCTTGGCTTGTGAGTTTGTGCCATACAGCTGTTGTCCTGTCTGGTATTTGCTTTTTCCTTGCTTTTTTTCCATGGTTACATTCTCAAGTTGTCTGTATTTAGTTCTTGTGGTGTTTTCTTGGAAAGCAGTCACTCTCCAGGTAGTTTTCTTCATCCCAGAATGTTTTGAGGCTGGGTTGGATGGAGCTTGGAGAAACCTGGTGTAGTGAAAAGTGTCCCTTCCCATGGCAGGGGGGTGGAACTGGATGATCTTTAAGGTCCTTTTTCTAACCCAAACCATCCTGTGTTTCCGTGATTCACCAGTGTGAATTCTTACTGTGAGTTGGGAACACTCATCACCTTGGCTGATGTCTGTCACAAAACAGTAAATTTTAAAGTTAGACTTTTGCAAAATCTGTAGTGATATATGGAGAGAAACAACAGTAGCTTTATGTATTTCTAAAGCCATTTCAGGAGCCTGTGGAGCTTTGTCTTTTAGGGAAGGACAAATAACTTTACTCCCAGACACAGGTTTGGGAAGGGTGGGGAGTTTTTGTTTGTTTGTTTTTAACATAGATGTTTTTGTACCTAATAGTTGCAAAGTCTATTAAGTAAAATACCTCTTTTTGTATTTAAAAAAACCATTTGGTTCACTAGGACCATCCCTGAGTGAAGATGTGCTGATATAACAGATATTTTACTGTCCTTAACCAGGAAATACCTGTGAATACGGAGTGGACCACTGGGTCTTAATTTTAAGATCTGTCTGTTCAGGCTGGAATTGGACAGCTTTAAAGAGCATTTCAACTGCCTTTTAGCTTGGACTGAAAGAAACATCCAAGCCCACGTGTTTTCTTTTGTAAAGAATCTGAGAACTGCTGTGTAAACTAGAAGGAGAGGAAGGCGTTAGCACCTGGCAAAATGAGATGTGAGTGCCAGGGCAGTGTTACCTGCCCTCTGAACTCGGAGCTGGGCAAGATTCCTGAGAAGGCTTGGAGCCCAGGAGTTGATGCTGGCACCACACGGTTACAAAAGGCTCTTTTCTCAGTGGGTTTTGTTTTATCCCTGTGCTTGTTTGGTGCAGGAGGTAGATGCTATAGCAGCAAAATGGGAAGTCTTTTGTACCTCAGTCACTCGTGGTTCTTTGGGCTGTGCTGTCAAGACTGAAAAATCAACATTTCAGAGCTTCTCTGTGTTGTGCAGGAGCCCTGGGTGCTTCTGCCTTCCCTAGGCCTGGCAGCATAAGTTTGTGTCTTGACATTTTACAGACTGACAGCCCTAAACCAAAGTGGAGGCCCCCCTAGGCTGCTTTAGTCAGTGTCCCTTATTTCTTCTGAGGCTGCGTGTTTAGTGTATGGGTTTATATTGTATTCTGAAGCAGAATTAAAACAGAAACATGAGGCAAGATGAAAATTAAGGGCTTTGAATCAAGAGTTTATCAGTATATTTGTGACTTTTATTTGTTTTAGTCCGGTTTTAGCAGCGTTTTTAGTTGCTTTACAGCACTCTTAGAAAATTGCTTTTGGTGTGTTGGACAGTCTTGGACCTTGATTATACAATTTCCTCTGTATAAAG